TCTTTTTTTTTTTTTTGATTTTCACCGGGTGTCCGAGTCTCTAAGAGCCCCGACTAATCCCGGGGGTGCACAGGCCCTCGGCAAGGAGTTTCCTGCAAGTGCACCACGATTAATTCAGGTTTTACCCAGTCCGATGGCCCTCAGAAATTGTTTGCACCCAGGAGTAGAGAATTATAGTTTTAGTATAAGAAAAATAGTTGCCAAATATGGCATAGAAAGGTAATATAGCTTACCGGCTCTTGAACTTGATTAACATAGTTTTTTACTTTTTGCTTCTTTGTTTCATTGAATTGCAATTTTTCAACTCCTTTGTCTATATTGTTTGTATTTATAGTTATTTTTCTTGTATTTACATGTATATTGTTTGTGTTAACGCGCTTTGTTTGTCTTCTTGTGCCTATGATCCCACATATCTTGACGCTTTTCTACACCTTTCGTCTTTGACCACACTTTTTCGCAATTATTATTGATGTTTGGCTAAGTCATGCATAACCTCGTGTATGGTATCACTGTAATACATCCTTGTTAGTTATGCCCAAGAGAGAAAAGTTTGCTGCTTCTTTTTTGCATTACCTTACTATTCTGAATGTGATGTCTTTTTATGTGTCTTTCCATTGTCTTTCTCTGAACTGTGCACTGTTTGAGTATATATGGCAGTTAGTGATCGTTTACTCTTAGAAATAAGTATTTCAAAAAAAATTCTGCAAAGATGAAACAAATTACTCCCTCCGTTTCAATTACACGGAGTTTAAGAAAAGAAAGAAGACTTTTGAACTTGTGGTGTAAAATGAGGCACATATATTTTGTGTGGCTATAAATCATTGCAAAAAGGTAAATTGTTTCCAAATAGGGAAAGGGGTCATTCTTTTTGGCACGGACTAAAAAGGAAATAGATTCACATAAATTGAAATGGAGGGAGTAATAGTTATGAGGGACTTTCTATTGTTTTCCTGTAAACCATGTGCTGTAGTATATGGGCCGGTAGTGATCTCTGTGGTTAGGGTTATTCTTTCTAATATCATTTTTTGATAATCTTTCAATTGTTTCCTTATAGAAAAATCATTTTTCATAAAGATAAGTATTTCAAATATTTTGACTGTAGAAGAACAATTTAAAATTGGAAATAGTGAAACTTGCAAGGATGGCTTTTGTCAGAGTTGATGTTGGAAATCTATTGATACCACTTTGCTACCCAAGAATGATATACTCATGCGGTCATGCCTATGCTGCCATGCTTGCTTGTTATGAATTATTATCTGAGATTCTTTCGAGCACTAGTTTGCTCATGCAGGAAGGTTCTTTGATAAATTCTACGCTAATAATCAATGCCCTTTATAGGGACAACCTGCTGATAAGGAAGTCAAGGATGCTCCTCCTGGAAATCGTTTAAATGCTGTGATCGAAAAGATTGAACGCCTATATGTGGTATGCATTTGTTGTTTACTCTTTGTTATACGCCTATATATATGTATGTGCGTGTGTGTGTGTATTGAAAGACTCTTCCTGCCATCTGCATGATCTCTTTTTGCTTAGTCTTATTATTTTGCACTTGATCTGCTAATTACTCATTATGTCTTTTAGGGCAAACAAAGTGATGACGAGGAAGATCTTAATGATTTCCCAGATGATGATGAATATGACACTGAAGATTCTTTCATAGATGATACTGAGCTGGTTGGTCACATCATGTTCTTTAACTTTATCTACCTTATACGAATATCTATTGTTTTGTGTTATATCCTAATGATTTTTATAAGCCTCGTGAATCTTTTATGGAACTTTGTGCAGATGACTTTATATGTTGTAGTCAAAATACCTTGTTTCTTGTTATGCAGGATGAGTATTTTCAGGTTGATAACTCAGCAATAAAGCATGACGGGTTCTTTGTCAATCGCGGAAAGTTGGAGCGCATGTGAGTTTTCTTTCTTTGTATTTTTTTGGCATTGCATTCTTGCACTTCCTTGTGGCTTAATTGTTGGTTATAAGTGGTGAAGCTTATAACAGTTAAATCATTTTCTTCTTCCTCCATTTTTGTCGAGAGGCAGCATCCGAATAGAACTGCTACTCCTTCTCCACCCTGCCAAAGAATACAGCAAAAAGATTTGCTACAAAAACCTGGTTTCAAATCTGAAAATACGAGGTACAAAAAAAACTGAAAGAATATATATATATATATATATATATATATATTGGGCCTGAGGCCGCAGTTTAATATTCAGTTAAGCAGGTTGTTCATCATTTAGAAGAGGGAGTATTCATATCCTTACTTCCTTTATTCAGTTCAGTTATCAGTTATCTTTTCAGTTATCTTTTCAGTTATCAGTTATCAGTTATCAGTTATCAGTTATCTTTTCAGTTATCCGTTCAGTTACCAGTTCTCACTTCACTTTCAGTTTCAGTAGTTATCATTTCAGTTATCAGCTTAGTTTCAGTTTCAGCATTTATAATTCTTTCTTTCAGTTGCTTTACATACCAGTACAATTCAAATGTACTGACATCCCTTTTTGCCCGGGGCCTGCATCTCACAATGCAGGTAATGATTAACAGGTTGCCGATTCAGAGCGCTAGGATTCTCGTACCAGCTAATTTGGTGATCCCCAGTTCTTTCGGGGCATTATCATTACCTTACAGTTTTCAGTACTTAAAGGCAATCAGTATTTTCAGTATATTATTAGAGGCTTCATAGACTAGAGTAACAGTTAGACAGAGTCACAGACTTTTCATATTAAGCCATGTTGGCTACAAATATATTTCAGAATTGTATTAGTATTTCCGCACTTTGATTTATATCATCCACAATTTTCAGTATATCAGCATGTGTTAGCTTATCTTCTGCATTCAGTATGTTATGATACCACATGTTGATTCAGCCAGCCAGTTGGTTCGCTCGGTCACATGTAGTCGGGCACAGAGTGTCGTGTTACGTCCAGGCCCAGGTTCGGGGCGTGACAAAGCTTGGTATCAGAGCACTAGGTTCAAGAGTCCTAGGGAGTCTATGAAGCCGTGTCCAGTGGAGTTTTCTTTATATGTGTGTGCCGGCCACTCATATAAATGGTTAACTACCAAGACATTCAGGATTGTCTCACCTCTTTCTACTCTAGATCGTGCCATGAAACTTAGAGCAATAGGTAATCTTCTTTTCCTATTGAATTCCAAACGTATTGGATGCCCAAGCGGCGCGCATGAAAAACCTAAGGTCCTAGAGAGGATAATTGCCCATTGGGGTATAATTATGAAGTACAGCTTGGTAAATATGACACTTGAGAGGATATCAAAAGTGGGATGCAATGGATACAAGTACACATTAGAGCATAACCTTTTCTGAAAGTACAAAAACAGTTATGATGTCTCATGGTTATTAGTTTACCTTAGTTACCAGTTATACAATCTTTCAGTTAGCAAGTTTATGGTTACGCCAGTATTCGGTTATATGTTTACCAGATCTCCAATTTTCAGTGTATCAAAATTTTCATAGACTTGTGAGTATACAGTGAGGCATATGGATGCTCAGAGAGTATGTAAGTAACAGTGATTATAGCAAAATATTCGCATGTTTTAGGGATTAAGACCCAAGACTCATTGGATGGTGCATAAAGTGATTTATCAGATATGTATGGCAGTGTATCCGTATGTCAGACCCCACGGTGTATCAGGTTAAGAATTCAACCGCAGCGGGCATAGGATTGATCACTATAGTTTTGGACAGAAAAGAGCCTAAGGGAAATGTAGCTAAGAATAATATGATGTACGAAATAAGAACTAAGAGCAGGCAACATTGAATTTTAGGGAATGATTTTATGTCGTTTAGATTTATTCAAATCAGAACTAGAAAGTACCATGTTAGTGAATTTATATACGAAGTGGCTATTATTGTGAGATAAAAGATATGACAGTTCCCCTTGATATGACTATGTGTTTAGGTTGGAGGTTTATAGTCTGAAGTTATTTTGAAGTGTATGGAAAGCTTGGGGTTAGATATTCCAATTTTGTTAAGAAAAATGAACTTTCCCTAAGTGCGATTCATGTGCATGGTTCAAAAAGAATGATAGCGTGCGGCAAAAGAATATGATCGGATGGCGAGGAAAGTAAGGAGTAACCTTATGCTCCACTTTAGTTATTCAAAGCAGAGCAAGAAAACATGATGCTAGCAGGGGGTTAGTAAAAGAATAGTAAATAAGTTTGAGTAAATACAGTGAATTAGCAATTTCAGTAGAGCTAGTAGAGGTAAGATTTGATTCACTTAGCCGGGTTAACTCTAGTGAGTGGATGATAGTTTGAAACCGAACATGTGTTAGAACCCAAAGAGTTTAAGCCCGAAGTACAGTAACAGTGGAAAAAAAATATAGCTAGTAGTAAAAGAGCAAGCAGTAGAAGAATAGCTTTTAGGAATTATCGAAATGTGGTTTCTCCAAGATTGACAGTGTGAGCAGAGTTAGATTATTAAGATTGTGTATGATAGTTGTGAATACATTAGCTTTCCGTCATGTGAATAATTTAGTTTTTCCTATCTCAGAAGTAAGTTGGAAGATGAGTCGTTATTGGGGTAGAATGGAAGGAATTGCAAAAAATAAGGAAAGTTATTCGGATCCCAACAAAAAGAGAAGGATTCACAAGTATAAGACTTTTGGTCTAAGGGGGTGATGTGAAAACCATCAGTAAGTGCAGTTAGAGATCTGAAATTCGAATAGTAGCATGGGATATGAAAAAGAAAACTAGTTCGGTAATGATGGAAAATTGTATAATTACCACAAGGATTATGCTTAGCATGTGTAAGAAAAACAAGTGAGTAGAATGATCACCGAGTTTAGTCATTGATGATAAAGTGATCACAGAAAGCTATAAAATCATGCCCAGTTATGTATCACGAGGGTAGTGCCATTGCACAAGACTCTAGTCTTCGGAGTACTAGTTAAAGACTTAGCTCACAACAATTCTATAAGTGTTTTCAGGAAATTCTTAAAAAGATAAAGTGTGGGAAGTATAACTCATGATTGAGGTAGATAAGAGAACTCTGGTAAAAGAAGTTCGCCAGCCAAGATAGGAGTTCGACTTCGGGCTCTAAAGATGACGGAGTTGTTGTCTAGAAAAGGACTTGTTCCCCCTTAGTAGTCGTTGTGAAGGAGAAACAACTTGATGATCCCTACGTGTTGCAGTTGAAGAGGAGATTCACAAGTATAAGATGATGGCTTTTGAATAAGGGGGAGATGATAGGACTTTGAGGTACTAGGACAGATTGTGTGTCCCAGTAGATGGACTTAAAGAGGGAAGATCGTATTAGAAGCCCATAATTCTAGGTATTCTTTCCATCCAGGTTCCCAAATATGCATCATGACAAGGAGATTTATCGGTTGAACGACACGAAAAAGAACGTCGTAAACTTTATGGCCAGGCAGAGCATTTTATTTAAGCAGTTGAGGATATGTCCTTGATGTTAAGAGTAATTGGGATGAT